CGGGGGGGGGGGACTGTAGCACCTCCCTATAGCCCCAAAGAAGCAAATATGAAATGACAGTATACATTTTAATTTTATGTAGCTGAATTTTGCCTAGAAGACAGATTGGTGAAGATAAAATGTAATTAAAGGCGAACAGCCAAGTCTAGCTATTATAATTGCTATAACAGGAGTCATAGTCCTATAGTTTGTGTGATTCTTTACTTTTTTAGCTCTCTCAGGAATTGTGCTCCTGGATTTTTAGTTTTCTTTAGAAAAAGGGGGACAGTGGTAGAATTAATGGGTAGAAAAAATAGTTTTGAGAGAAACTTTCAAATGAGAAGTGATTTCTAAATTGGTGAAAATGATATCTGTACATCCCATGACACAATTGATCATGGGTATGAAATTCAATTTTAACTTTTCAGTCTTCGAAGTTGGGTAATTCTAAAGGTGTCCTGCTCAAATAATAACCTATATTAAAAGTAATCAAGAAAGGAAAATGAAACGGGGAAACTTGAGATCTCTAGGTGGGTGTTTCAGAAAGGTGAGTACATGGAAACCATTTTGTAAGGCAAAAACGAGTTTACTTTAAAATAGTGGGTGCAGAATGCAATAAATATTGCTATTGAAAAACTGAAGATATGTATTTGAAATAATAACCATGCAGAAGGAGATACTGCTTCTGTCCACATGAGGGTAGTCTGTACTCAGAAAATATATTTATTGGCAATCCTTGTCTGTTCTCAGGGTTCTTGGTTTAAACATTGTACTTTATGCTTCTGGTTTCCTTTTTTTTTTGCTGCCTTTGCATACAGTGATAACAGGTTACAACCAAATGTCAAATTGATCATTATTTAGATTCAAGATTGTACAATGTAGTATGTGTTAAAGACCTGGCGAAACAAGCATCACCAGGATAATGAAATATTACATCTTAAATAAAATAAAATAGGGAATATGTTCTTCAACTCTAATTGCTCAAAGATTATTAGAGTCCTTGAATTAACCAGTGTGTCCTTTGCTCACACAGGGGGCCTCCAACATTACAACTCTCACTTTAGTTGTCTTGTGTCATATCCGCTACAGCTGACTTCAGCAGCTGGAATACTTGGGTCTCTTCTAATCTATATTCCTTTTCAGTTGATAGAAACTGCTCTATATTGCTGCTCATATAGCTGGGTGAGCTGGCAGTCTCCTGTGAGATTAGGATTTGATTGACCAGCTTCTGAGGAGTGTCCAAGTTTGACACATTCTTCACCCCACTTCCTCACTGCAGGCTAAATGCATGAGATCTGCAACACAAAACCAACTCTGTCACAGTTAATTTTGTTTGAGCCAGAATCACCTCCAGGGCAATGTAGAGTGCTAACAGCTAGGCCATACAGTTGCTGCTAGCTTAAAAATCATCCGTGTTTTACAAGTTACTTCAGTTATTGCTTATTGTAAGTACAGGGAGCTCCCACTGGTCTCTGTCCTTGCCTCTGCACTCTTTTTGTGGGTAATCTCATTGGCAAATACAAATTTAATTACCCTCTCCATGCTGATAACCAGGGATCCTAGTTTTCTCTGATTTAGAAAATAATTCCCCAATTGTTAGATTAAAAAAGGTAACCCAAAATTCACAATTTCTGTCATTTAAAATGAAACACCACTGTATATAGATATATATCCCCATTTCATTTTAATGGCATGTTTCATTTTAATCACAGAAAAATGTGGATGTAGGGTTACATTTTTAATCCTATAATGGGGGGGGGGAGGGGGAAGAGGGTTTATCAGAGAAAACCCGGATCCCTACTGATAACTCTCAGATCAATCTCTTGACTCAAATTTATCTCTTTATGTCCAACTAAAATTGAGACCTGTCTCTCACATCTCCATGTGGATATGTAGCCATCATTTTGAGCTTAACCCGACTAAAAGACAGCTCTTAATCTCCAAAAGTCTTCCCTGCTACCTGTTTTCACTATTGCTGGAGACGACCTCCCCACCCTACCTGTTACTCAGGCCCAAAACTTGAGTCCAAGTCAAAGTTGACCCCCTTCCTGCAGACTCTTTCTGAGTAACACATCTAAAGTGCAGCTTTTCCTCTCCATTAAAGGAGTTAAAACTCCTGTCCTGGCTCTCAACCTCTTCCCTATCAATTACTACACATCCTTTTCTGTAGCTTTGCTTAATGCAATCTGGCTCTGCTCATATCCATTCATAATGCTGAAAAGATGCTACTTTTTATAGTCTGCCCCACCCAGTCTTCCTCATTCAGTATTGAAAAGTTGATTCCTGCCATTGACCCATCATACTAGCCTCTAGGGCAGGGGCAGGCAATTATTTCAGTTGGATGTCTGCTTAATGAATTTTAGCAAGCTGTTGAGAGCCACAAGGTTAGTCACACCCATTGACAGGTGCCCCATCCCCTGGTCACCATCTTTGGACTGGAAGTCCCTCTTCCTAGCCCCTGACCTTTGCCACTGGAAGTCCCTCTCCTCTCCCCAGAAGTACTCCATTTGGGAAGGGGTGTTGCCATGTTGACACTGGAAAAAAAACAAATTATATACTAAAAATCAAAACATCCACAATAACATATTTTAATCTTATTTTAAAAAAATATTTTTGTCCTGATATGTGTGCGTTTGTATCACGCATATAGAGGTAAGTGCATAAAAGCACAAAATACAGTCTTGCTCTTATAT